GTTATTTGTCTTTTTGGTGTTGAGGTGTTGAAGTTTTCTATAGATTTTGGAGGTAAGTTCTATATCAGATATGTCATAGGCAAATATTTTCTCCCAATCTGTAGGTTCTCTTTTTACCCTTTTGACAAAGTCTTTTGATGCACATAAGGATTTAATTTTTAAAGGGTCCCAGTCATCTAGCTTCTCTTCTACCTCCTGTGCATTCTGGGTTATGCTTGATAGTCTATTTATGCCATAAATGAGGACTCCCAGATATGCCCCTATTTTATCTTTGATGAATTTTATAGTTTTGGGTTTCACATTTAAGTCTTTGATCCAGTTTGAGTTTGTTTTTGTGTATGGGGTGAGGTATGGATCCTGTTTCATTTTTCTGCAGGTGGATATCCAGTTTTGCAAACACTATTTGCTAAAGAGGCTGTCTCTTCCCAATTTAATGGGTTTTGGACCTTTAAAAATGACATTTATTAACTGTAATTGTTGTTATGTGCCGTCAAGCTGGATCTGACTCATAGCGACCCCTCCTTGGGCTTCCGAGGTGGTATCACTACAGAAGTAGATTGCTCAACATCCTTCTGAGGAGTGGCTGATAGGTTCGAACTGCCAGCCTTCTGGTTAGCAGTCAAGTGCCTTAGGCACTATGCTACCAGAGTTCTCATTAATTGTAATAGGTAAGATACATATTATAATAGGCAAGATATATACCATAGGAAAAGCAATTTCTGTTTTAAAACTGGTAAACTGTGGGCTCTTAAAGTTAATTTCAGTTTCATTAAGAAACTGCAAATAAATAATTCTGTTAGAGAGTCAACATTTGTAGATAATTTTATCATTAATAATTTGGATTTTTTTATAGTAGTATATCATTTTTTTAATCTGATGGTAAAGTATAACTTGATTAAATAATTAACATTATTATGGATTGAATTGTGTTCCTCTGAAATGTGTGTTGTAAATACTGACCTCTTTGCCTATGGTTTTAATACTATCTGGGAATGGATTGTCTTTGTTAAATTAATGAGGCAGGATTAGGGTAGGGTGTATCTTGAATCAGTTGCTTCCCCCACCCCAACTGGTTTGGGTGAAAGTTTATGGAACAAATTAGTTTTCTATTCAGCAATTTATACACATTTTGTTTTGTAACATTAGTTGCAATTCCCTCAGTGTAACACCCCTTTTACCACTTCTTCCTTAGGATCCCCATTTCCATTCTTCCTTCTTTCCTGACACTTCCTACCTTCTGACTTTGTTTTGGGGCAAATGCTGCCCTTTTGATCTTATATGGTTGTTTATTCTGAGGAGTAAGGCATTTGACTGCTAACCAGAAGGCTGACGGTTCAAACCCACCAGCCACTTCTCAGAAGGAAGATTGGGCAATCTACCAGTCTTTTGATACTGCCTCGGAGGGGTCGCTGTGAGTTGCATCCAACTCCAAGGCAGTGAGTTGTTTTTTTTTTTTATGTTCCTTTCAAGTGCTATTGTTCACTTTACAGGCCTGATTGTGTTTGGCTACAAAGTGATCTTTAGGGGTGAGTACAGTTCCAGGCTTGAAGGGTGTCTAAGGGCCACAGTCTTAGGAGTTCCACCAGTCCCTATCAGACCAATTAATCTGGTCTTTTTTTCATTTTGAATTTTGTTTGACAT